ATAAAGGATTGTCTTGTAATCCACTATTCCACTGGCAAGATGTGTGCAGTGTCCTTTGAAAGAGCCACAGTGCCATCGTGTGGCAGAGATCTATAACTGCAGATCGGTGCACAGGAAGTTTCACAGACAACTTTAACTTGTAGAGTGACAGCAGGTTTCAGGAAGTGCCAGCCTTCTCTGTAAAAAATGTGTATTTTGTATTTAAAGAGGATAAGAAGGAGAAAAAGCAATTTACATCCTGATAGTGAAGACGAGAAGACTACAGTTTCAGCTGGTTCCTCTAGATGTCTCTCTTCACTTGAGTGTATGTCTTGCTTTTGGATATTTGGCACATCTAACAACCTCTACATGCCATTACATCACCCTAACAGCGAGGATCTAAGTGTGTGTGTTTGAGGTGAAGAAGGGACGCTGGGTTGTTAGGGTGACTGGAAGGGGTCCACATTTAGAGGAGCACAACACATACAATGCTGGTTTGGTTTTATTCTGTCACAAAAGAAGTCATACATGAGACACTTGTATAGATATTCATGAAAGAAAGAAAGAAAGAAAGAAAGAAGGCGAGAAAGAGAAAATGGACATGCACAAACTTGAAAAACAAAATGATGCAATATAAAACTGACTATAAATAGCATATAGCACAAACTAGGTGTTGTATTAAACCAAAGCATAACGCAGGACTAACTCACATTCACACCTACGGGCAATTTAAAGTCACAAATCAACCTAACCTGCATGTCTTTGGACTGTGGGAGGAAGCCAGAGTACCCAGAGAAAACCCCCAGTGACATGGGGAGAACATGCAAACTCAACACAGAAGGGCACCAGTCAGCCTGCTGGCTCGAACCTGGAGCCTCTTGCTGTGAGGCGACAGTGCTAACAGTGCCGCTCTCTGTTTCCATGGTGGTCCATGATATCAATAAAGACTGCTACGCTTCTGCTACATTACAGGCTTATATGAAAGTTGGGATTAAATTAAAGTAGATACTACTTACTTATACAAATAGTCATTTTTAAAACTAAAATGCTAAGCACATTCACCCCTCTGTCTGCTTTTCATCTCTTCTCTCACACACATAACCTGCTGCTTAATGCCGAACCCTGTTAGCAGTGTTCAAATATTTTAATGATTTCAAATAACTCAAATAAAAAGACCACAGTAATGGAAATGACACACTGAGTCAATTATTGCTTGAATCATAGCCGTACATAACATTTTCTTTCAACTAAACAGCTCCATTTTTTTCTGCTTCAGAATTTTAGACAGGAATTAGACTGTAGATCATGTTTTAACCATAGGGTTACCAGATACATAGCTATAAATGCTTTGGAGAAATACTTATGTCTGGAATATGCGTGAACACATAATTTGGTTTTGCTACTGGCACAGTGTAAACTCACAAAATGTCAGCCACACTCCCTCTTTTGCTCCCTCTCTCGGTGATAAGACAGGATGTGCAGGGAAGGAATGGGAAGCTCGCTGTGCATTTCTCTCCGCCTCTAACTAGGACATGGTAAAGGAGCTGCGGCGAGGACAGAGAGATAGAGACGGATGGAGGGAGGGATGATATGTAGCTATAATTGATAGGCCTAATAATGTGCCTATTGCTCCATCTCCATTAAAAACGGGTCTGCCCAAACCACTATTTTCACAACCTAACCACGGCAGAGGACGCTGACCAGAGACAACGATGTGGTCAGAGGTCAGCATTCATCAAGGAGATAAAAAAGACAACCCTAAAAGAACTCTCTTAATGACGAAGCAGTGTGAGGAATGCCACTTTACTATCACTCACGCTACTAATTGTGTACTATCTCACCTCAGATCTCACCTCTTTAACTCTGCACAGCGATACTGACACATTGTGCTGAGAAGACACAGGATGATCTGCAATGTTTCATCTCCTTTTCTTCTCCTCAGTTAAATATCCCTCCTCTTGCTGACTGCGATCCCTCCCTTTATCACCCTGTCCCTTGGGGGTTTTCCCACTGAGCAACTTTGCTCTCCGAAGAAGTGGAAGCACCAAGATGAGCGGAAATGTTGTTTTGTATGCTGGGCTGCTTTTCTCTCACTGCTGCTGACCCACAAACACAGCCAAGTCCAGCTCAGCCCAGAGCCTGTAAGGCAAGATACACAGGCAGATGAACAATCACTCAGATACAGAACTGGGATAAACATCTGCCTGATCACACTTTTGACTTTTGACAGCAACATTTGCACAAAAAAAGCCAAAAAACAACAACTTTATAAAAGCACATATAAAAATAGGCTTCACAGAAAACTCATAGTACTACAAAAATGAACCCAGCAGTGCTCATAATTCTGTCAAACTCAAGAGCATCGTATTTGTTTATATAGAGATGTTCTTTCCGGAGTGTTGATTCTGATTTGAATTCCTAAAAAATATGCGGTTTCCTCCCTCGCTTTGAAACAGGAAGTAGAACTGCGGTTGTCTTCCGCCCGTCTTGTTTAATGGAACCCGCCTTCCTGTTTTCAGATTCATCCTGATAATGGCTGAAAGTCCCCCAGCTGTATGCTCCACACACAAACACACAAACACACTCCCCCCCTCGTCCTGTCCCTCTCTTACTCTCCCCAGTACGTCCCTCTTTCCCTCTCAGATGGCTGCTAGATAAGTCCTTTAGTGGGACCTTCCCCATCCCCATCACCAACAGTCGTCAGACCTTTCTATACGTTAACATTCCAGCGGCCCATGTGTGTGCCATGTGAGCTGGTACGTCTGCATGTGTGGGAGAGGGCCCAAACTGATTGATTATCCCAAACTGATTGCAGTAAAGATCAAAGTATCTGTGAACTGCTGGGATGGGCTTGTGTGTGTGTGTGTGTGTGTGTGTTGTAGGGATAGTGCCATGTGCAGCCAGGCCAAGGAAGTATGCAGGTCAGAGCAGAGGGAATGTCAGGAATGTCAGTGTAATTCAAACTCTCTTCTACCACTGGAGGCAACTACTACCTGGGCATATTTTATACCAGAAGTGGGCAGAAATGTTAATCTGTGTGTGTGTGTGTATGTGGGTGTGTTTGGCAGTGTGCCATTTTAAGATGCCGGCGTGTGTATAAGGAGCCACAGTGTATACATTGCTCACAGCGTCATCAGCATCTCCCCTTAACTCAGTAATCTCCCCATCTAAGGGCATTCAGTGTTTTAGCCTCAATGTTCCCAAACACCTGCACTGGAAACAAAATGTGACTGAACGCCCAGCTGTTCTCACACGAATTACACCTCCCGAATCCAGTTCCCAGGCTTTAGTAAGCCTTTCATTTGATATCACAACATATCTGCGCCCCCCCTTGCCCTCCCTGTCTGGCCGGCTTTTTCACGGCAGCCTGTTTTCACTCAGCTGCTTTGACAAAGACTGGCGAAATAATTACAGCTGGGCCCAAACTCAGCAAGTGTTTGTCTCCAGTAATCTCCACCAAACCCCACCAGTGGGGACTGTGTCATAGGAAGAGGAGGAAGAGGTCGATTGTTCTGAAAAACGAGAAGCCGATGACATCATTTCAAAGGGCTCTGTTCGGAGTGTTCAACACTCACGGTAAATAGGCAACAAAGTAAACTCGCTGTAATGTACACAGCTCGCTAAACATCAACAAGACTTATCGTTTCAGACTCAGGCCCAGCTGGTGGAAAGTCGAAATCTCTAATCTGCCTGCCTCCATCCATCCATCACTCTCTTTCTCTTTTCCTCTCATACTTTCTGTCATTCATACAAAATGCTGTTTGGATGGAGTTATATTCTAAAGATAAATTAGTTTAATTTCTGTATAAGCCGAAACATTCGGCCTTTTTGAGCCAGGATGTCTTTTGTGGCAGGAGGGACAACAGGAAGATGGCTTGGGGTTCTGAGGAAGTGAGTGAGTAAGGGGAGGGAGGAAAGAAGTGAGGGAAGTGAAGGAGAGTAACAAACCATAAGCCGACGCAAAACTCTGAGGAAAAATGAATAAAGGAGAAAAGGCAAACACATGAATCAGAAATAGACAAATATGTTGTTCTGTACGTCCTGAAATAAAAAAGGAGCCCATTAGGTCCACATATGAAGCCGTGAGGTAAAGATGCTACATCAGAGAAGAGGTCACATGAAGATGAGGTTGCTGTAATTCACAGTGACAGATTGTGGATGACTTATGGGGGAAGTGTAGCATGTAAATCACTATGCTGCTACTATTACTACTACACCCTCAAGTGCTCAAAAGCTGCTCCGGGGAGAGGGCCAGGGAGAGGAGAGCGGCTCCTCGGGCAAGCAAGGGAAGCATGGACACATAGAGATATTTACATACAGTCAGACAGACTTCCTGGCATTGTCAGCCTGAGAGCGTTGATGTCAGATCCACTCCTTCCTGTGCAGAAGGGAGAACGCCATGTCGATGACAATGGGCCCAAAACAGGACAAAGAGGAAATGTTTAAATTTAGGCACCCTTCTTCCACCATCTCCTCTTTCACGGCTACGGAGCTGTTTAGCTTTTGTGAATTCCTTCGGTTTCCCCCCCTCCTGAGCTCCCTCTCCCCATTGTGCATTTTCAATAGAAGGATTTTCACATTCAACGCAAATCCCAAAGGAGGATCAGCTAGTGAGACCAGAGTTCAGTCAATCACTTGTTTTCACTGATGTTCCTTTAAAAAATTATAAGTGCCTCCTTATTAATCCATCAAGCAGACAGGATGGAAGGAACTCTAGGGATACACAGAAATAAAGCTATAGTAAATATGAAAATAGTTCTGGACTTGAATGAAGTGAGGGATAAAAACAGGATTACAGTAAAAGCTCAGTAAAGCATTCCATTATAATATAATATAAGTAGTAAATTTGCTATTAGCCCAAAACAGACATAATTAAGTACAATTTTCATGTGTTTCAGAGTGTGTAGCTATGTGTGTGTGCGTGCCTGTGTGTATGAGTGCGTTTAGGGTGTGTTGGTGTGTGTGTGAGTGTGTGTGCTGCCCTGTCTGCGTGAGAGCTTTATCACAAATCAGAGTGTCGGCGTCTGCAGGAGCTTACAGGGCAAGAGTTCACCGGTCTGTCGCTAACTCGGGGAGTTTCTCTCAGTTTGATGATAGCTGACGAAGTTTACAGGCAAAGAGACAACAACACATGAGAACTACGAAGAAGGAGTCGCTGCCCGCAACATAACTTCAGCCTTACTCATGGATATAAGTTGAGCCCGTCAAATACACTGGATACGTTTGAAAGGCGGCGTTTTCATTATTGGCTCCACTGACGGCAGCGACGATGCCCATTTAAACCGGGGGAAGTTTTCTGCGGGTAAGTGAACAGCTTTAACGGATACATTTAAAGTGGCGTCGGGAGACACGGTTTATTTTTCGCGGGTATAACTTGATAAACAACTTTTTTGGAGTTAGTTGACCGGCTAACAGTTTTGTTAACTCACGCTAAACCAAATTATGAAGCAATTTCACAAATTATTTTATTCATATTCGGAAACTTGCTGTAACTTTAACGTTTATTGACGCCATTTTTAAAAATAAGACATAACTCTTAACCGCCCAGCCCAACATAACGTTAACCTGTCACTGCTAGCTAACGTTAGGAACTGTCAGTTGAAGATGGAGACAGAGATGCAATTCACTGTGAGTTTTGTGACAGTTTATCACTGACTTATGGTAAAAAACGACAGAAAATGTTGTTTTTCATGTGAATTTTAGTAGTGTATGTCATTATAACCAAGCAGACCGTACAACAGGTGAATAAAATAATCAGAATAACTGATATTCAAGTAAAGAGACGTCATATTGTATATTTAAATGCTAAAATAAGTGCTTCCTAATGTGTCTGACAGGAGACTGTCATTGTAAACTGACATTTTTACATTTTTTGAGTGACAGCACAGTCCCTCAATAATGCTCTTAAAAAGCTTATCAGTTAAAAAAGCCTACTAATTAAATTGTGACATTCTGTGAAAAGGCCAGCCACATCTTTGGTGATGATCTCATGTAACAACAAAGAGCCCATGCTGGAGGCCCCAATTACACCAGATGCTTCCATACATTAAAGGGATTATGAAATGGGGGTAATTAACATGTAGTAGTGTAGCACTTGCCGAGCATCTTCCTCCTCAGAAGGAGCTTATCTGAGCTGTGATGATGTCACAGCCGGAGCAGGCCTGAAATAACCAGACATCTCTGTAGTGAGTGTTTCCATGACAACACAGCCTCCTGGTTTAAATGGTGGACGGGGGACTGTGTCTCAAATAATTACTTTGGATATTATGGACCGAATATGGGGGGGGAGGGTGGTGTTTGTGGCTGTTGACTCACCATACAAAAGCCCTTGTCTGAGAATCACAAAATGAGACCTCCGCTGCGCTCACTGTGTTTTACTGGTTAAGAAGCACTACTATTATTCCTGAACATTTGACCTCCTATGTAGGTAAAATACAGCTGACCCTCCACTGAGATTTTTTATTATAATGTATTAGGCATTTATGGCAAACATCTAGAGACAGACAAACAGACAGAACAAGACAGAATGAGCATGATATGAAAGGATGAGGCAGTCAGTTTAATGTCAAACTACTGAATAAAAATGTGGTTTTGTTCCTCCAGGTGTTTGAGAGAGAGAGGCCCGAGACATGATGTCCATTGGAGCTGATAGCTGACACTGTAGAATGAGAGAGGATGGAACAGACAGACAGCCCTGCCCCTGTGAGCAACAACCCTAATGGGTTTGTCAACCGAGTGTTTAATGTTTCTCTGGATGTGGAGAATGAGACCAGCAGTGTTTATATTCAGGAGACTGGGCCAGGGCCTGCAGAGGGGCAGGGGGAGACCCAGGCTGCCTCTTCTCAGACCCCTGTCAAGGACAGACAGGAGGTCAACCGGAGGCCCCGTGCCACAGGGGGCATCTGGAAGATCTTGAACCGAAAGAGAGCTGTCGCAGAGCTGGAGCGCAGACCCCACTCCATGATCCTGCCAGGGGAAGCTTCCATCCCTAAACTCTCGTTTGCTGACAAAGTTCGCTCCTTCAAGAAGCTTAAATCCCCCTCTGTGTTTAGAGGGAAATCGGGAAAATTGTCTACTGCCAAGTTCAGCAGCTCCTTGGTGGATGAGGAATCTTTCTGCCGCGACATTGGCACTCCTCAGCAGTCCAGTAGGAGCACACTTAGGCACCGTGGCAAGAGGCACTCGTATGCTGGCCACACAGCAGAATTTGACTGCTCATTTGAAGACATCGACCTCACAGCTCCTATAGACGGCCACCAGCCCACTGTATTGGGAGAGGCTGTGACTCAGAATGGTTGTAAACCACCAGAAAGAGTGTGCTATACTAAAAGAAGCCAGAACAACTCATCCAACTGTAACAAAACAGCTGCAGGCTGTGAAGAGCCTAGCATTAAAGGTAGCCCAGGCACCCACCAGCGTAGAGGAAGGAGGCACAAAGATGTGTGGAGTTACCTGAGGAGGATTTCCCTGTTGGGGAAGGCCAACCCTGTCTATTCAGAGAGAAGCTTTGACTCTGAGCTTCACTCTTTGGACAAAACCATGGACTCAGACTATGGTTCTGTAGACTTTGAGAGTGTCAGGGACTTTCACCCACCGACCCCAAAACAGTCTGACACCAAGGGGCACTTTGGTGGTCTGTTCAAATTTTTCAACAGTGTAGCAGAGACAGCTAGAAAATGGCGGACAACATCCCATTCCTTCTCTCCTCCAGAGGGAGAGAGGACACCGATAAGCTCTCCACGGGCCCCACCGCCCACAGCGGACAACATTCACAGTGTATCCCTGACACTCCACAGTGAAGGACTACCAACATCCAAGCCTATTCCATCATCACCAGTGACCGCTAAATCCTCACAATCTAGTAGCCTTGACAGTGAGGCTCCAGCACCTGTGACAGGTGGACGATCCCCTAAGGTGGTCCTGCAAGCCTTTAGGCCATGTTCAGGATCTCGAGCTGTCAATGGCCTTCAGAGTTCTGAGGGCACAAACAAACATATAGACAGAGAGACAAACCACAGATCCACAGCCATAGTAGAAAATCGTGTCCCTGAGTCAGGTCCAACAACAGAGACTAAAACAGAAGCAGAGGTTGAAACAGATCCATTTAACTGGCTCTGTCAAGTGGAAAAGGTAGAGGGACAGACAGGAAATGACCAGAATTCCAGGGATGTTCCACCTGAACCCCCCCAGATACAGGAAGTGAATGTCCAATCACAACAAGGTGATAAAGAGAGCACAACCAATAGCGTACCAGGATCAGATTCCACAGAGGAAATATTCAAGGTATGTGACTTCAGATACAAAATGAGCTGTGCTAATTACCAGCCTCTGAATGTTAATAAATCCATTTGTTAATGAAGTCGATAATTTGTGTTGCTAAGCCACTGAGTTGTTTTAAGAGAACAGCATTTTTATGTGTAATGTGTCTCACATTTATGCCATAACCACATTCCATTGCAGGCTTTTTTCCACATCATTAACATCGCCAAAAGCATGCAACATGTAATTACTGCATAAATGCTCAAAATATCATTTATGTAACTGTTAACCATGGCCATTCTTTTGCTTCTTAAAATCATCAACAACAAACCAGACTGTAAATAGCACCAGAGCTGTTACTCATTTCTTCTTAATATAAGTCCTAGGTGTGGTTCATTAACTGTCAGGGAGAAACAAAAACATTCAAGACACCAGCCTGTGAGGACATGCATCGGGCACCTACTCTACAGTTGTCCTTTTGCCCCATCTGTTGGAGAGAGGAGGAAACAGTCAGTAATTACAACCGTGGACAACATCATAATAGTTTTTCCTTTCAAGCTTAGCCAGCCTTGTGTAGCATGCAAGGAAACCCTATTTCCCATAAAGCTGGCCATGTGCGACTGCAGTAGCCCAAGAGCTCTGTGACGTCTGCGCTTCATGACGGCACCCTTCCTGTCTCACTCCAGTGAAGGCATTAGTCATCCCCCTTCTAGTCACACCAACGAGTCAGGACATGTTAGCCTTAACTCCCAATGACAAAATCAGATGTGACATCTCAATACTCAGCACACTTTCATAGGGGTTTATTATGCAAGGGCTGTGGGAATCTGTGTTTTGGGAAGGGTGTTAATGTGCAGTCCTACACTAATTTAGGAAAAATGATGGCACCAGGAAAATCCTCCTCCCTAATCACCCTCTGTTTACACATTAAATCCACCTGTCTATTGTATTTTTTTCTGCTCTGAAGTTTAACTGCCATTCAGGGGCTTTCTTGGCACTTGTGGATAGCTACTGATCCACTGCAATTAGGAATATGAGCTCATGGCTAGTAGAATCTTTTGAAATGAAATGAGGTATATTTTGTTGAATCTTTAGAGACATCCCTCCCAATTCCCAACACAAGAAATGCATTGTTGCACCTTTATCTGGGCCAAATTGCTGAGTATCTGTGCCAATCACAGCTGTGTGAGCAGATTGCCAACCAGACAGGCTGCGGTGTAAGACAGCCGTGCTCAGCCATGCCCCACTCTAGCACAGAGAAGACCTCTGTACCTCACAAGCCGCTGCGCCATCGTCCTCGCCCGGCCTCAGCTGTACTGGACCTGTGGAGGCCCAACCCAGACCGAGATCTCTTCCACCATTATAGTGAGGTTGGCTCGCTATGCCGGCGGAGACACAGGCCTGCACCCACCATACAACAATCTCCGAGGCAGAGACGGACGGCTGCTCGCTCCAGGCCTTGCTCTGTCATAGAGACCAGTGTTACTAGGGAGATGCAATCCACGGAGCTACACCACAGAGTAAGATGTCAAATACAGACACAGGCATTCATGCATTATTTTACAGGGAGTAAATATACAAACACTGAGATGAGGATGACAAATAGGCAGTCCCATACATACGTAAATACACATTAATACTGAGTAAATGATGTATATACAGTAGACATAAATACATCACATTGATGCTGAAAAAATTAAAGTTGGAGGTCAGAGTCTCACTAGTAGTCTCTACCAACTCACTGATAAATATAGCCCAAGCCCATAATGAATCAAACACACACTACAGACTTTGAAGGGCAGTCCAGTACTAACCCAGTATTTATACACCACTCACTGTTAGTTGCAACAATGCATGCATGCTCTGCCCCATTTATAGAGGCCTGTATTTCTGGATTCTGCTTTTCCCTCAGCTCACTTCCCCCTCTCCCTCTTTTTCTCTCCCTCTCTCACTCTTTCTTTCTCCTTTCTTTCTTTGTGGCTTCTCTTTCTCTCTCCCTCACTCTCGGTCTTTCTCTGTCGCCAATTTTCTGCCTCATCGCTCCCATAAGCTCTACCTCTCATTGCCCTAACTCAGAGTCAGTTCATCTTAACCTGAGAGACTGCCCAGTTGGCATGATGTATAGTCTCTCATGGTTTGCTGCAGGGCATGCACACTAACCAGTGCACCAGAATAGACTGCTTGCTGGATGTGAAATACTTTAATTCACTGCAAAAAAGGGGGACAAGGCAGTAAGGAAAAATTGTTTTAAAGTGAAGGTCAGGGGGATGTGTGCATCAAAGTAACTGTATGGAATATAGGAGATGCCCTAACTACTCAGTACCCTCTAGGCCTTGTCTCGCCCCCTGGGTGTGTCACCGTTAGAGCCCCCACTAAAGATAACTATCCAGCGGTGCCGCTCCCTGCCGCTACCCCCCAGCACTCTCACAGCCTTGGCACTGCTCCTGCCTCAATCAGGTACCATTGCATGTTTTTTTATTTGACATTAATATGCAGACTGTTGATTAATGTGTGTTTGTTAAATTGATCATCTGTTTGCCTGTCTGTCTGCACACATCTGTCCCCTAGACATGACTCAGACGTCATCGGTGCGTCTGCGGTCTGGAGGCTCTGGCAGCTGCAGGAGGAGGAGACTGTTAAGACCTGGTTCAGAGCCACTGCAGGTCAATGTTGTAAGTCGAACACACGCCCTCATAAACACATGCACATGAATACAGATTGTCACTACTCTTCTTTCTGTCAAGCTATGAAGGCCTTTAAAGTGATTAATGAAAAAACACTATGTACTGATTTCTAAGTATTGTGGCCACTATATGTATGACATTGACTACCTGTGCACACACACATACATGTCACAGTATGTTCGCCTGTTTCATATACGAGCAGATGTAGATGAGATAATCAGACATATAATAGAGTAGGAGTATGATAAATACTGTTAATATAGAGATAACAGAGCACTGGTTAATGTTTCATCACATAATGAAGGAATTGATCCATGAAGATGGTGGCCATGTGGATTAATGTTATCCAGTGCCCTTAGGCCATTACTCATCCTGAATTTGACACCCAGCATTTCAGATGTTTTTTAAATCTTACTAGAACGCATGCAGACAAATGCAGAAAGAGGAATGACATTGAATAGTTTTCCTATACCTGGTGTGCTGAAATCTACAGGAAGTGTTAACGTGTCTTTGTCAGTTGTGTAAAATTAGCTTCAGAGTACGTCGGAGCCGTACTACTCAGGAAGTGAAACCAGGCATTTCAGAATTGGTGCTTTGATGTGCAAGTGGCCTCAGGGGGATTCTACTGGAAGGAGATGCAGAGTTTTTCTGAAACATCCTGACGGGGTAGTGAACATTTCTGGGGCTGTGTCCAACATCTATACCTACAGAACTGCAATGCATAGGGCTCAGCACGATTTACATTATTGTTTGATCATACTAAATTGAATCTCTGCTTAGTCCCACGTGAAAGCTTTCATCGACTCATTTTTCGTCTTTCATGGAGTGAAGAGCAACATGCTGAATGTTTTATAGCATGGTTCATTCAAAAATCTTAAATGCATATTCATCAGCATTTAGTACCAGAAGAGTATTTTCCCTCCATAATACATAAGAAAAAAATGTTCAGTGTCATTTAAGAATGAGTGTGTGCACAGTGCTGTTAAACTATGTGGGTAGAGCTCATATTTTCTACACTAGACTCAAATTCAAACTATTTACAAGGAGTCAGTAAGGATTAACCACAACATTTGCAGTACAATAAGCAGTCCATTTTCATGAGAGATGCTGTCTGCTCAGCTGCTGAATACTGAGCCCCGGGCTTTTGGTCCTGGCACGTCTCTGGCATTGAAATTTAGTAAACTGTGTCTTTGATGAAGTAATACTACTGCATTTAAGCTTTGATTATAACTTTTTTCTTGTTGGTCTAAATAGTGTTTGTGAGCCGCTGCACGTTGTTGCCATGACACTCGCTGGCTCCTGTTCATCTTCTTGCTTCTATCTTTAGGCAGCCTTTTTAAGTGTGAGCTAAATAGAGAAAGTGTGTGGGTGAGAGAGAGAAAAAGGGGTGGGAGAGAAACAGAGAGGGGAAGAGAGATGCTCCCTTTGTATGTGCACTTTTGTGTCGTGCCCCTCCCCTGGGGTAGGGAACATGGACTCATAACACTGGAAATGCCTTGTATGTGTGTTTGAATGGCAAGGGAAGTTCATTTGTAGCAAATGCTGGGATTTATGACTGCATCTTGAGCATAGTGGTGGCATTATATATATATATATATATATATATACTGTATATAATTATGTATACTGTATATGCATAATATGACATAACATGGTAACGCAGCTGTAGTGCAGTCTCATGGATGGATGATGCTTCAACATTAAATCTGTGTGTCGCTGTCTTATTTCTGGTAAGTCATGCATTGTTTATATGGTATGGATCTCATGTCAGAATCGGATCTGTTGTTTGTGATACAGTGCAGCGTATACAGTCTTCCTGTTAGGATGACTGCTGGAACCTAGAGGCCGCAGGCAGAGAGAAAGCATTCTCACTGCAGTGGATTAACTGCTAATGCTGACGCCTCTCTTCTCCCTTTCATTTAAATGGATTTCTCCCCCAGTCACTGCCCTCTTTCTCCTCTCCTCTCCTCTCCTCTCCTCTCCTCTCCTCTCCTCTCCTCTCCTCTCCTCTCTCAAACACTTAGCAATGGCAGTCTTTGTTAATTCCTATGCAGATGAGAGGACAGTTTCCTGTGTGTTACTAATGCTGTGCCCGAAGCTCTGCTGTCAACTTGTCAGAAAAGGGGACTGTCTTATTAAGGGCTTCATGCAGATTAGGAGTTTCAAGAGAAATCTTATATGATTAAGTTTGGGCTAACCTAGGTCTGTCTGGTCATAATCACATTATGCAATGCTATCTATTTATTATGAACGCATGAGTCAGCAGGCAGTGGCTAGTTGGGCAAACAGTGGGGCAGTGATGAAAAAGGACAACTACTTATGCACGCGCTTTTATACGCATGTGGGGAGCACCAGTGCTCATATGTTAATTTGACCACGTAGACTCTGTTTGTATCTGCCTCTGAGGCCTCAGCGCCTGTGATACACCCTTTTCACTCTGACACACACATACTCTTCACGTGCTCTCCTGATGTATTCAGAATTCATCTGTCAGGGCGTGTGAGTCATTGCATTGACGACTTCATTATTTGGTGAGGAATGAATAGCACCGGCCAGTGATATCTCTGTCAAACACACTGTGAATGTGTGGCATTTGTTTCACCCCGGGCTTTATTTTAGAGACGAAGACAAACCACAGGAATAGGTCTTCCTCAAAATAACTGCATGCATGTGCAGTCTGCACTCTGAGCCACAGGCGACTTAGAATCCTTTATCAGTGTTCATTCAACATCGTTCCCCTGCCAAGGTACAGGCAGGTATCCGCTGTGACTTACTGCAGCCACCAGCTAACACTGTTTTGTAGGATGCAGTGGGCTCTAATAAATAGTAGTGCCACTGACTGAATCTGAGCAGGTGGTTGTGTCAGAGCCTCCCTAGGCTGTTTCTTCCAAAGAATGGGTTTCTGCCTGTCAGGTGTGTGTGTTGTTGTTGTTGTTGTATGCATAGGCGTGTGACTCCATGCTTATGTGGGGTGTGTGTGTGTATTGGTGTGTGTTGCAGAGACAGACAGATAGGCTCAGGGCATTTTCTCTTATATAACTGTTGAGAGGGTTTCCTTTGCTCCCTACAAAAGCCATTTCCACTTTTATTTCAGATGGCTGCATGTTCTCAGGGACTGGAGGAACAGTGCTGTGTGTTAATTCTCTTACTCACTGGTGTATCCTGTTTTACAGTATCTCCATGTTATGCTGCATATTTTGTCAGATCATGCGTGCCTGTGCATGTGCGGATTTGTGTTTGTGCTGTCTTGGGAGCACGTTCTGTTTTATACCTCATCAGGGCCAGTATTTCTACCCTTCCATCATCACTCCTAAATATGGAATGCCACTGCCACAGTAGGACAGTGGGGATATATTGGTGGATGGCTTCAGCAGTGTCACAACATGCAGTGATTTTTTTTTTGGTTATGAGACTATTTAAGGCCTTAGGCACTCCGGTGCTTGTTATCCAGCATCAGTTGTATCATTTGTGATCGTTTTCCCAGGCTGCTCAGGTGATTTTACCCACAGTCATGAGCTCCTGCTGTTTGCGTAATACGCTGTTTATTTTCATGGCTATTTGACAGGTGCATATTGGGGAGAGAGACTTTTTCTAGTCTTAAGTCAACACAGAAGAATGTCACCTTGTGTTGGGTAATGTGATGATCCCTTATTATCTGACAGGCCCATCTTGGAGCAGACACCCCACAGGCTAAAATGTGTTACTGGTGCCTTTCACAGGGAGATTTTTATGTATTAATTCCACTGATAGCTTTCACTGTAGCCATTTTCTTCACTCGACTATAATAGCCTAGAATTGGATATTTTAATGTCTCGTTACAATGTCATTTCTCCTTCCCTCTCTACCAATCATTGCTCTGTAGAGAGGAGGTCATGTGACCCAGGCCCTGCCAGTATTTAGGGGCACCTGGAGGTTGCTCAGTGTCCTCTCAGATGCATGTTCTTCATATATGCTTGCAAGCAACTGGGCAAATTTTTGTTTTGGGGCTGTATAAATTAAACTGACGTGACTTGACATTAGTACAATCATAATAATAATTCAGCTTCAGCTGCGGAGGTTGGAAAAAACGCACAAAATACTTAACATTTTTGACACTGCATCGGTCTCTCTCTTGCTCAAGGCTTATGTCAGTAACCTAATTAGCCCTTCCTAAGCCCCAATAACAGTTAAGCAAGCTTGGTCCCCAGCAGAACCTTGGTCAACTCCCCCCTTTCATTTTATACTATGCTGTGTGCAGGTTTGTCAATGTTGAATTGAAAACCAATGATTGTCAGCCACAAAAGATAATGTTTTGTTTATTCCTACTCACAATAAACTTACATTTAATATTACTTACATTTAAAATGAATATTCTATTAAACATAATTTGGCCATTGCTATGCACATTGCTATTATATTCATGGTCAGCTCTCATAATCGCTAAAAACGTTTTACAGATGTAATCAACAGTGACATTGGGGGCAAAAACAGACAAAACTAGGCAGTGGAATATTTACACTCACCCATGGTGCCAATACATTATTCAGACCTGATTAGGGGTTGTCAGCTTGCTGTTTTGTCAACATACAGGCTAATATCTGCAGGCTGTTGTCTAGGGGATCATGTGTGTTTTGCATAAATTGTCTGTTGTTTTAAAACGGCGCCAACTCAACCTGCCTTAAAATTTCCCACAAATAATACACACATGCATCGTTTTCAGTACTTTCACTGTCAACCAACCGGTGACCTGTTGCTTACTCCTCCATAGTACTCCTCCATATTTGAGTATATTTTATATTTACTTAAATAGGCATCACACTAATATGTAATATTTACTGTGATAACTCTGGACTTTTGTATGAGCTCAGACAATCATCCTTTAAATGGACAATGAATTTTAGACAGAATATGTTATGAAACATGTTATTTTTGTACATTTAAAACTAGGCAACTGCTGTGACTTAAATATACGGTAATTGAGTATTTGTGCCCTGAATAGAATATGTAGT